CCTCCTTTGCTCCTCCGCCGCCTCCTTCGCCGTCTTTCTCTCCCCAAAACCATACCTTCTTCTTCTTATCCATTGAGATGGATTTTTTCGAAAAATTCTGTTCACGTTAGGTTTTGATTTTGGTTGTTGCAAGAGAGACGCACAAAAAAAGGTTTTGATCTCCTCCGATTTCATCGGTTTTAAATTTCCTCCTTTTATATATTTGTTTCTTTTTCTTCTTTTGGCTGAGCTTGGAACTGTTTTGCTTTCCCTCCTTTTTTTTGTTCCTTCTCGCCACAAAAAATAGCAGTAAGTTACGGTTTAATTGGTCTATTAGCATCAAAGTTTTCAAAAATAAACAAATTGGCATATTTGTTTTGAAATTAATTGATTGACCATTTTTTTAATTGAGATGTGTATTTCATATGTTAGCAATATATGGCGTTTAACATGAATAATAAATTGGAAATATTTTGACCAAAGAAAAAAAGAAATAGTAATATATTCCTTTCATGTAGAATCTTGATGGCTAATCAGTACCATATACTAGGGTATGAGTGCAAGATGCGTCTTTGGAAGTACCTCTAAATCCTGATGTGAAATTTCAAACTTCCACACATATGTATGTCGGTGGTAAGCCGGTCACTAGGCAGAAAAATTCGTGCAACATACATTGGTGGACAAGTCATATTCTGATATTAGAGATGCTTATGTGAGATAGCTTTTGCGGGATCGTTGGGGAGTAAAGAAGAACCATGAGATTTGGTATGTGATCGCGTTAGATAGAGGTGGAATAGAGATTATGGGTAAGGATAAGTGGATTGATCACATGCTTTCTGTCTCTAGTAGCTATATGATTATGCATTGTTTGGGTATGTTCAGAATGTTTTAAGGGTGATTTTTTATGCTCAATTATGGTTAAGTATGCATATATTTTCTGTTTAAGTACTGCTTCAATCATACATTAGTCATGTTATGTGTTGTTTTGAATTTAGTGGGAATGTTCTAAAATTTTACAAAGTAGAATAATAAAAAGGGAGTGTCTGAGAATATGATACTTTAAAGTTTCTATTTGAAAAATAGGTAGTTTTAAGTTTTTATTAGTTTTTGGATAGTTTTGGTGGGTCATATTTTCAAAACTTCAAAGTTAGCCATGTGTCTTAGAGAGAGATAGAGATAGAGAGATATGTTTTCTAGAGAGACAGACACCGAAAACTACGTGGTCCCAACAAAAAATATCTAGATGTGCTTATACACCTAGAAATACATATATTTTTTTTCTCTTTCTCTTTTCTACTTTTTGTGAGAAAATTTTTTTTTTTAATTATTTTCTATTTCCTTCTTTTTTAGAAAATTTATTCCTCAAATCTTTGATCATATATTTAATTCTAAACAATAAATCAGATTATGACATATACATTAAAAAATTATAGTTTTTTTATACATATCAAAATTTGAATTTAAAAAAACAGATATTATTAAAAAATTATATGCAATGTACACATATATGGTATACACCTATGCAGTGTACACGTTTGTGATGTATACGCATACCTAAGCAATGTACATCTATACGGTGTATACACCTATGCGGTGTATACATATACAGTGTATACATATGTGTGGTGTACACATATGTACTGTATTCATATGTGTGTACGCATAAGCTTGTACACATTTTAAATCATTACCATTGGAATAAATTTCAACAAGACTATTACTAATTGGTGTTCACAACATGTATAAAAGAGGTGTACACATCATTTCATATAGCATCATGTTCTCCGCCTTTGTATAATATAAATTAAATAATATAAAATATGAAAACACTAAAAAATATAAATATAGAAATATATATCCTAAATGGTTAACAACAAACCATACTAAAAACATGAAGCATGAAAACCATAAAAAAAACAGATAAACACGTAGAATATGGTTACCATATAGAACAATCTACTATAGAAATCTAAACCCTAAATGGATACTAGTGAACCAGTATTGAAAAATCTAAAGTATGAAAACCGTAAATAACATATAAGTATCAAAATTTATACCCTAAATGCATGATAGCGAACTCAAATTGAATAATGTAAACCTTAAACCTTAAAAATAAATAATAAACATTGATGGATACTATACAACCAATTTAGGATACTAAACACACAAAAGAGATATTAAACCGTTAAGGAAAAACATATAAATGTAGAAATCTATACTCTAAATGGGTAATAGCGAACCCAAATTGAGTCACATAAAATATGGCTACCATATAGAACAATAACCTATAGAAATCTAAACCTTAAATGGATACTAGTGAACCCAAATAAAAAAAGTCTAAAGAATGAAAACCGTAAATAACATATAACTATTAAAATCTAAACCCTAAATAGATGATAGCGAATCTAAATTGAATAACGTAAACTGTAAACCCTAAGAAAAAAATACTAAATATTGATGAATACTATACAACCATTTGATGATACTAAACACACAAAAGATATATTAAACCGTTAAGGAAAAACATAAACTTCAATACTAGTAAAAACAGATAAATGTAGAAATCTATACCCTAAATGGGTAATAATGAACCTAAACTGAATCACAAAAAATATGGCTACCATATAGAATAATCAATTATAAAAATCTAAACCCTAAATGGGTGTTAGCGAACCCAAATTAAATCACGTAAAATATGGCTACCATATAGAACAATTAACTATAGAAATCTAAACTTATCTAAATGGTAACTAGCGAATCCAAATTGAAAAAATTAAAGTATGAAAACCGAAAATAACATATGACTATTAAAATCTATATCCAAAATGAATGATAGTGAATCCAAATTGACTAACGTAAACCCTAAACCATAAGAAAAATATACTAAACCTTGATGAATACTTTAGTCTTAAAACATTTCAGATAATTTTAAATTTTAGAAATATTTTTATTTTCGTAAATTTTTAAGTTAAGTTTTGGATGCTTTTTTTTTTTATCATCTTTTGATAACTTGGAGTGGTTCATTTTTTTGTATATTTTTCATTTGTGTTTTTATTATCTAAAAGTAGCAATATTTATAATATAAAAAGAAAACTTTCTAAAAAGTCATTGGTAATTTTGGGTGAAAAACCACAAAAACATGGATTTTGGCTTTTGTTTAGAAAAAATGGTCATTGTTTTCAAAATACAGTTTTCCTAAATTTCAGCAAATTTATTTTCAAAAATCTTAATTGGATAATAAATATTTTTTTTGTAAAAATAAAAACGAAAAACTGTTTAAAGAACTTTAAAAAATTAAGGGAAACATATTGAAGAGAGAAGATAAAAAGAAAAAAAAATAATAAACATATTATCATGGTATATTTATAAATAAATTAAAGGATTATGGCCCAATAAGGAAAGTAAACAGTTAAAACTACCCAATATTTTGTGTGATTTTAAAACTACCAATTTCTCAAATTAAAAACTTAAAAACTACCTATCCAGCAATTTTCTCTAATACAAAAGTGACCAACTAATTTTAAAAATAGTATAGCGTTTGAAAAAATGATAAAATAGTACAAATAGTGCACATCCTGTTTTTCCAAACAAACCTTCCATATTGTTTGTACAATATTTACAATTTTCCCAAAGCTTATACTATTTGTCAGTTATTTGGTTATTTTATATTATTTGAAAAAATATCTCTTTGTTGCAAAGTTTTGACTTTGCGTAAGGATTTGATGATGGAGTCCATTTACTTATCTCTTACAGTAATATTTGTCTGATTTTCTTCTATATATAACATGCACTCGTCCATTGTAAGAAATACGAAAAAATCAAATACAAAATCTCTCTCTCCCTCTTTGGTACTCATCTATCTCCATGTTTATTATTACGTTCTATTAAAATAACCATATTAATATTATTCATGTATTTAGGCTGATATAACATACGATATACGATATAATTAAAAAACATTATCAGCACGATCACTCTACATCTATACTTTATAATTTTAATTATTTAATTATTATAATTAGAGTGCGACTCTGCCGCTCCATTATTATTTACTATTTTTTTTATCATGGTTGCTTAATGCACCATAATAATTTATCATTATTCAACCGTTTAAATAGTTTATTTTATTTTATATGGATGATTCTGTCACCATATATTTATTTACTCGCACTGTTTAATTATTATGCTTATATGAATGATTTAAGTCACCATAATTTATTTATTTATTTTTTTAATATGGATGACTCAGTCACCATACATTTATTTACCATGTTCATATGGATGACTTAAGTCACCATTATTTAGTTATTTACTGTTTTAATATAGATGATTTAATATAGATAATATGGTCACCATATATTTATCTTTAAATTAACATTTCTACTATAATTATAAATAAATTTATACCACCAATGTATAATTATATATATATATATAAACTAGTAATTTATTTTCTATTCATTGTTTAAATTATTAGTCTGATTTTACCTTATTTTCTTTGTTTCCAATGGTCATTAACAAAAACAAATTTTTTTAAAAAAAATTTTTCAAACAGCTACATAACAGCTAATGAACAGTATTATATAATCTATAAATATACTTATCTATCATTCAATTCACTCAAATATTTCATTCCCCTTTGAACTTCTTTCCAAGAAAAAAAAATGGTTCATCCTTTTTTAGTTTTTGTAATTGGTTATATACTTGTTGTTTTTTATAGTTTACTTTTTGGAGAATTCTCTCCGGAAGAATATGTGATGATTTGTATTTTAGACTTTTATGCATTTGTATTCCTTGTAATCTCCTTATGTATTCCACCACCTCACATATTTTAATAAAAATCATTTTTCTAATAATTATTTCTGTTATTTTATTTTAGAAAACCTAATGGCAAACGTTGAGAAGCTCCAATTCCCGGCTTTAGACATCACTGGTGCTAATTACATATCTTGGACCACCAACGTTGAACTTCACCTCGAATCTCTTGGGTATCATCTATGATTACGCACAATGTCGCACACATGAGAGATCCCCAAGAGCTTTGGAAGTCCCTTAAGGATCGTTTCGATCATCAAAAGGACATAACACTTCCACTTGCTCGGGATGAGTGGCAAAATCTGAGGTTTCAAGGTATTCTGCAGTGTTAGGAATTGTAGCTAAATTAAGGTATTGTGGTGAAACCATTACGGAGTCTCAAATGCTTGAGAAAACATACACCACATTCCATAAAAACCACATCACTCTGCAACAACCATACTGATTGCGTGGATATACCAAATTTTCGGATTTGATTGTGGCACTCTTAATAGCTGAGAAAAATAATGAGCTCCTTATTAAGAATCACATGACACAACCTACTGGATCTAAAGCGTTCCTTGAAGCAAACGCATTGGATGTTAAGAATCCAGTTAAAGAGAACAAAGCATCTCGAGGACGTGGCGGTCGAAATTACCGCGGACGTGGGAGAAACTACAGCCCACAGAATAAGAAGTCATTCCAGTGGACTCGTTCTGAACAATCCCCGAAGGGAAAAGAACACCAAGGAAGTACCTCACAGAAGCGAGAGGATGCTTGTTTCCGATGCGGTACCAAGGGACATTGGTCTCGTGTGTGTCGTACTCCTGCACATCTTTGTACATTGTACAAAGAATTCGCCAAAGGCAAGGGAAAGGAAGTCAATCTTGCGGAGCATTCTGAGGGTACAACGCACCTCGATGCATCTGACTTTGCAGATGATTTTGACGATACCGCCCTTACGAAAGCCTGAAACATCCACCATGTGACTACTGAAGTTCCAACAAATGTGCCATTAATAATTGTCGCTTATGTAAAATATAATGTATAATTAATGTTGCTTGTATTACCTAAATATGTATAATTATTGTGTGATATTTTCTTATTAATGTATAATTATTGCATGATATTTGCTTTATGAATAAAAATATCTTATTATTATTAATTATTTTTGTTTATTACAGAAATAGATTACGATACAAACGAAACTTATCTGATTGAAGGGACTGGTAAAGCTAATTTTGCATTACCTTATGGGACAAAGTTCTCGATAAATCATGCACTATTTTCTCCAAATTCAAAGAGGAATTTGTTGAGTTTTAAAGATATATATCTTCAAGGTTTTGATACTCAGTCTGCAACTGAAAATGGGAAGAAATATATGTACATAACTTCTGAAAAATCAGGAAAAAGGCATGTATTAGAAAAGTTACCAGAACTCCCTTTTGGTTTACTTCATACATACATAAATGTGATAGAATCAAACCTTGTGATCAAGAAAAATTCTGAAGATTTCACACTATGGCATGATCGTCTTGGTCATCCAGGCACCACTATGCTGCGAAAAATCATAGAACATTCACATGGATATTCATTGAAAATCCAGAAGATTCTCAAGGAAAAGGAATGACATGTTCTGTATGCTCTCTCGGAAAATTGATCATAAGACCATTGCCAACAAAAATTGATAAAGAGTTACCAAAATTCCTTGAATGGATTCAAGGCGATATTTGTGGACCTATACATCCACCATGTGGACCTATATACTAATTTATGGTAATGATTGACGCGTCAAGTAGATGGTCACATGTTTGTCTATTATCATCTCGAAATATGCCATTTGCGAGATTTCTAACTCAAGTAATCAAACTAAGAGCTCAATTCCATGATTATTTAATAAAGAGAGTTAGACTAGACAACGCTGGTGAGTTTACATCCCAAGCATTTAATGATTATTGTATGGTAACTAGAATCGAGGTTGAACATCCTGTAGCTCATGTTCACACACAGAATGGTTTGGCAGAATCATTAATAAAACATTTGCAACTTATTTCAAGACCATTGATCATGAGATCAAAACTCCTGACCTCTGTATGGGGACATGCTATTTTGCATGCAGAAGCGCTTATTCGGGTAATGCCAAGTGCATATAATAAATATTCCCCATTACAGTTGGCATTTGGTCGAGAACCAAATATTTCACATCTACGAATCTTTGGTTGTGCGGTATATGTACCAATAGCACCACTACAACGTACAAAGATGGGACCACAAAGAAGGTTAGGGATATATGTTGGTTATGATTATCCATCAATCATACGATATTTAGAACCACAAACTGGTGGCGTCTTTACGGCACGGTTGGAAGATTGTCACTTTGATGAAAAAGTATTCCCGATTCTAGGGGGAGAAAACAAAAAGATAGAAAGAGATATCAAATGGAGTGTACCATCTCTGTTACACCTTGATCCCCCTTCTAAACGTTCAGAACTAGAAGTTCGACGAATTATGCATTTATAAAGTATAGCTAATCAACTACCTGATGCATTTGTGGATACCAAAAGGGTGACAAAATCTCATATACCGGCCGCAAATGGTCCTGCTCGTGTAGAAATACCACAAGAACGCGAAAAAGCAGATGATACACGTGAGTCTAGAACACGTTTGAAGCGTGGTAGACCTCTTGGTTCCAAAGAAAAAAATCCTAGAAAATGGAAGGAAGTTGATAAACATAATGATCTTAAAATAATAGAATCTGTTCCAGAAGAAACAAATCATGAATCAGAAAATAATGTCGAACATTATGAATCCGAAGAAAATAATGAGATTTATATCAACTACATTCATAATGGAAAGATATGGAATCGAAATGATATGGATGATGTTGATGATGTTTTCTCATACCTTGTATCAAAGGAAATAGAAGAAGAGACTGAAGATCCAGAACCTAAGTCTGTATTAGAATGTCTAAAGAGACATGACTGGATAAAATGGAAAAGTGCGATTCAAGTCGAACTTGATTCACTTAATAAACGAGAAGTATTCGGACCAATGTACTCACACCGAAAGCTGTAAGACCAGTATGATACAAATGAG